TCCATCGTCCATCGTCCGTTGTCCGTTGTCCGTTGCCGTCCTCGTTTTTTGTCGTCAATGTGTATGCTCGGATGGATCACTATAATTATATAGATGGCCGAATTAAATTTTAATTTAACGCCTGTCAAATCAGAAAACCACTGCCATAATCGTTCGCTCAAGAGATCAGTTCGCCCCAAGATCCACGGGGCAGTCCCCGAAAACAGTTATTCATTTCACTGATCGCCGATCGCTGAATGGTGATCGGTGAGAATCAATCGAACCATGCGCCACAGACGCTATTTTACCATTTTTAACCATTATTGATTGTAATGAGCCACCGAAGGCGTCAACTCCAGCGTCGATCGGTGATGAAAGAAAAGACGCCTGCCAGCCAAGAGAATGCGAAACAATTAAAGCCCCAAAAATCTACCGAATCTTTCGAATATCCGTATGAGATCCCGGTTACCTGCGGCTTTCGATGAGTTGTCGAAATGCGATTGCGCCACGAGAAAGGGCTACACCGGCAGAAACATTAAATTTCAAATCAATTTGACATGAGAACTGTTTAAGCCTTCTTTTTGGAAGTCATCAGAGCGCCATTAGATTGATATACCAAAACAAGAAGGATAATTATGCATCATTCTAGGAAATGGTTACTTAAGAATTCTATAAAAAAAATCTATATATTATCAATCAAAGAACTATATAAAAAATTGAATATTTAGTTGTGATCATTGTAAGTTTTTCTGATGACAATAGATCAGTTAAAGCAATCAAATTGAATCTTTGTTTTTGGTAAACATAAACAAAAACCAGTCCAAAACGGAGTTAGATCTGTTAGTGGCAAAGTCTTGGAATTCGCATATTTCTTGTTTTAAAGTTTTCATTATTTTGTATAGAAAAGACCTACATGAGCTGTATAACTTAAGTCAGGCCATCATCAAATTAAAAAAGAATTGTGAAATCTGTCTTAAAATATAATTATTTCCAGTGCACCTAATACAGTGACTGCCTAAAATTGTTTTGCCTCAAAATAACCATTATTTCAAACGTGGCGCTTTGGGGTCATGTGCCAATCCGTCTTTCAATAGAGTTACTGAGAGCTTCTCTGAATGGAATTTAAAAATGGGGAACTCCTACCGAAACTGGGCTGCATATCATCCGTGCATCCTGGCCAGCGGTTTCAGCCATCGTCGTCGTCGCCTCTGCTGCCTGTACCTGTTAATTGCCAAAGGCGTTAGTATTAAGTGGTTTTCGTGCTTATTATAAATATCTCTTAATTTTCGCCATCCCCACGCCACTGTGCTAGTGTGAGTGGCAAAATCTTGAAATGGCAATCACCGACCGAGGTCCCATGGCAACTACCAACTCCAGATTCCAGCTTCCCGACGACTCCCGACTCGAGAGCCAGGCATCCAAGTGGACAACGTCTGCGGACGCGGACGCTGCCATGCCTGTCGTCTGCTTTGTTGTCATTATGTTGTGTTATTTGGCACGATTTGTTAAGCTAAGGAGCAGCAATGGTACTGGGCTGGACGAGGATCACAGTTCAGGGGCGAACAAGAGCTAGACAAGTTTCGGGGGTTACTATTGAGGTACTACTTCTATTAATCCACACAATTTTAATCTTGGGGGTTTTGTTACCTTGAAAGAGTAGCAAGTTCTTGGGGTAATATTTCTATTTCAAATCACTTAAATCAGGAACCCCTGATACCCTTCACAAAGTTTAGATCTTGGGGGCTTTGACAGCGCCTGAAACCCCTTCTGAACCATGCCACTGCTTTGGGTTGTCGGGTCTGGCAAACGAACCTGAAGGCTGTGCGCGGTTGCATGATGCTGCCGATCGATTGGGTCCGAATCGATCAGCGGCATGGAGCGGCACCAGGAATGGCCATATAGCCTGGCCGGTAGCCGATCACTACTAACCCTAACCTGCCCCCCAAACCACTGATCCTCTTTGAGAGAGCTCCTTTTGCCGCCGCCCCGGCCATGAGAGCGGGAGCCAAACTGGCGGCGCAGAGGACTCAGCTCACAGCTCAGCTCCTCCATATAATTGTCGCATGCAAGATCGCGGCCATCGACATCGGCATTGACAAGTTCCCGGGGAGAGTGGAGGAGGGCAGAGGATCCGACAGCAGGACATGAAAGGTAACGCATCGCTGCGACCAGGAGAATAAGTAATTCACTTAACGCTTTAATATCGCTGATAAATGCAGGCCAATCTGCATCCACCCCGACCGCTCTCTATCCCTGAAGGGGGACCCATACATTTCCCCTTAATTGGTGCAATTTCGAACGATTTTATTTTATTCGCTTGCGTTTCATTCCGCTGATCGTTTCTTTATTTATTTTATTTTTTGTCTTTTTCCTCTTTTTGGGTTTAGATCTGGAGGAGATCACCTGTGCCTGCGCAGACTTTGTGGCTGCGGCGTGCGAACACTCTGCTCATTTGCATAAATTCAAATTCATTTGCACTGCATACTGGGTATGTATGTATTTGGGAATGGGAACTCGGATTGCGAGCATTGTTTTGCACGTGTTGACAAGTTGGATGGGGGAAACGGAGCAAGGAAAGGGAGACCCTGGCCATGGGTGGGGCCGACCGGATGCCCCGATGATAAAATGTGCGCATCCTCTCCAGGAGACCAGCAGGAGGAAGCACAAACCATAAGCCAGAAAACCTAAAACCGAAAACAGAACACAGAACCGACGACGTCTATGCGAGTTTAATGCAAGCCTAAGCCTATAATTTGATCGTATCCACACAATAACTCAGAGCTCAGGACTCACACAACTCGAAGCCAAATTCGAGTCCGGCAGTTGGGAGTCCAGAGGATGCCCAGTGGCGCTTTTGGGGGCGTGGCCACGACGAGCACAAGAGCAGTGACAGAGCCGATAATGGATGCGCAGCAATGCCATTTCTGGCAGATCGGGGAGTGCTCCATGGCTTCTGATAAGACCACCGACCAGGTCACACTCGAAGAACTAAAGGGTCACAAGGGAAATTGATTCAAGGTATGTTGTGTTAAGAAAATGGGAAATTAACTTTTTCTTTCAAGACTTATAAAATTATATCTTTATTATCCTTTATAAAGAATGTTCCACATTAAATCACATAAGAACTTTGAAACACCCGAATAATTAGGAACCTTGCATATTCCTATAAGTTCTCTATTTAAAAATAAAATGTATAAATATTAAGTGGATATATTATTGTTCAAGTGCAGGCCGGCAGGACAAGTAGTTGTTGAAAGCGTCGAGCGAGTGCCCAGCCAGGAACGCCCGGCTCACTTAGCGGCCAGGGGCCGTAACTCAGCTGCGGACCTGAGACCTGGACAGGGATACGCATACGGAATCGATCGGATTACCCGGCAGGCTTTTCAATTCAACACATCCTCCGGTCGGCGCGGCGGCAATTATACGGCCACGCCTCCATGGGCGTGCGACGCCAATTATAGCCGCTGCGATCTGGTATCTGCAATCCCGGAACGCTGACTTAAATAAATGCGCGAGTTTGGAAATTGAAAGGAATTAGCGGTGGGCAGGCAGCCGAACTGCAGAAATATTATGCATAATTATATGCTAATCCGCTGGCATTGAATTATGGCTGACCACACACGCGGTCAGTTACCTCTCGCTGCGTTCGGGAAATTGTGGAAAAGCGGAGGGAAAAGCTCAGATGGCGCCCAGACCCTAAAGTGATTGGGATTTCCCGGCTTGGATTGCTGGTGTGGCATCCCACCCGCGGTCTGTTTGCATTGAAGTCGCTCATGTAGGTAATTTCCCCCTGTCCGAGATTCGAAACAGAGGATTCTCAGTCGGTAGGAGATTGATTACTGTTTAGGAGTGTGATAAATCGCTGTTTTTATTAACTTTTTGGGAATGACGCAGCGCAAAATGGAGCTGCACTGGCCGCCGGTCGTCGGTCGTCTTCGAAAGTGGAAGTCCAAGTCGGCAGATGAATAACAGCAATCTGGGAATCAGATCAGCGTGATAATGTATAATTTGTTCAGGTTGCTCTGCTCGAAACAAAGGCGCTGGCATCCAGTAAAGTTAATTGAATTTATTAGAGAGCGTAGGGAGTTTTTCTGCAATGTTTAAGATAGACAATGATTGCCTCAAAAGCTTCACCCTATCGAAGGTAAGGAAAAGGCGAACAATTTGCAATTGATACCAATCTTTGGGATATCTAACTTTTTACAATCACTTTTTGGGCACCTTGTTCCTCCAAGAACACTTGAAATATTCCCATTCTTGCCATTAATAAATAAAAAAAAGCCAGAACGAGGTCAAATCTTTAAATTCAATTTAGAAACTTATGCTTATTTAGATAGTTAGTTTATTAGGTTAAGTAATATGCATAACTAATCAATAATTTTTATAGATTTTAAAATGTTGCCAATTTTTTACGGGAATTTTTTAGGTTTTTTTTTTAATTTGTACGTTCTCTTTAACCCACACTGGCATTTCAGACTTGATTATATTTTTGTATTTGAATATTTTTTAATATAATAATGATATCAATATCATATATGAAAGATCACAACAATAAATCCAAATATTTAAAGATGCATCCACTCAAGATATTTTTAAAATGACCGCCAACACGACCACGTTAATAATCTAAATGCACTATTGTCTCCAGCTTTTTATCGATATTTTAGTGTGCTATTTATTTCCTGTGCGCATATTTCTGTTAATGAATTTTACTTCCTGAGAATTCTACATGTAAAGGTGTAAAATGTTATATAGTCGTGTAGTAACAGCTGAAGAATTCAGAGGGACCAGAAATAAAATATTAATTAATACCAATAATATATGTTACGTTACGTTTTACATTCTACATGAAAATTCTACCCCATGTTTGACATTTGACATACAAATCCGACCCCAATAGTGAGAATTCTACTCCAAAACTGAGAATTTCGACCCAGGTATCTGTAAACGTGTAAATTGGCTTTTCAGACGCGTAAAATGTAAAATGTTAAGTTCGGATTTCAGAGTGACCAAAAAATTATAAAAAATCGCAATTTTTTTTCTAAAAAATCAACGCGTCAGCAAATTTTATCTTCAAATTTATGAATTTTTTTGGTAGCAGCTGCGGAAACTAAATCAGGAGTTGGATTTCCCAATCTGCAAGACATGGCGAGTCCCAGGACGCGAAGAGTGCTGCAAGAGCTGAAGCCGCAGGATGAGAATTCGGTAGGTTTTGTGGTGTCCCCTTCGCCTATGTGGGCCAATTGTAAAGAGGTCTTGTTTTCTGAATCGCCCAATAGAAATGCTTTGAGTGCGGCACCCACAACCCGCAATGGGTATCCGTTACGTACGGCATCTGGATCTGCCTGGAGTGCTCCGGCAAGCACCGCAGCCTGGGCGTGCACCTGTCCTTTGTGCGCTCCGTGACCATGGACAAGTGGAAGGACATCGAGTTGGAGAAGATGAAGGCGGGCGGCAATCGCAATGCCAGAGAGTTCTTAGAGGATCAGGCGGACTGGAACGAACGGGCGCCGATCACCCAGCGCTACAACTCCAAGGCGGCGGCCCTGTATCGCGACAAGATCTCCACGCTGGCCCAGGGAAAGAGCTGGGATCAAAAGGAGGCGGAAACGCGAGTGGGCAACTCCAATAGCTTCAGCAGTGGTGGAGGAGGAAGCTCCAATAGCTCGCAGTCACGGAATAGTGCAACAGGTTACGGTGGAGGCGGTGGAGGCTATCAAAACGGCGGTGGCGCTGGGGAAATCGGAGGCTATCAGCAGTACCAAACGCAAGAGTTCAAGGACCAGAAGGAGGAGTTCTTTAGCCGACGGCAGGCCGATAATGCCTCCCGGCCAGAGTAAGAGCAATCGATGGTTCTTTCAAGTTAATATTATCTAAACATCTATTGTTTTTTTTCAGTCACTTGCCACCAAGTCAGGGCGGAAAATATGCAGGTTTCGGATTCACACGCGAACCGCCACCGAAAACGCAATCTCAGGAGCTCTTTGACACAACTCTGTCCACTCTGGCCTCTGGCTGGAGCCTGTTTTCCACGAACGCCTCCAAGTTGGCCAACACTGCCAAGGAGAAGGCCGTTACTACAGTCAATTTGGCCTCCACGAAGGTAGGTATTAGAGGTAACAAAGTGTATTTAAAGTGGGTATCTTTATTTACCTAAGATGTTTGTATATTTGCGTCTGCTTACATTTTTAATGCCGTAGACTTCGCTCCGATTGTTGGTTTTTTTTTTTTTTTTTTTGTGAGATTGGTCAAATCATTATTATTATATAGTTATAGTAGATTAAGGCATTACTTATCGTATCCTTAAAGCCCAAAGTTGATAGAATTAAACGTAATTTATGTACTTATTAGATTTATTTGCCTTTTTAGTTGTTGTTGTTGATTTATTTGTCCATTTTTTCTTATTTGCTTTGGTTGTAGATTAAAGAAGGAACCCTGCTAGACTCGGTTCAAAGCGGTGTCACTGATGTGGCCTCCAAGGTCTGTAGATTCTTGTACATATAGATCAGTTCTAAAGCCACAACTAAATGCTATATATTTTCCAATAGGTTACCGATATGGGCAAGAGAGGCTGGAACAATTTGGCGGGCAGCAACATCTCCTCCCCGCAGGGAGGCTACAACGATCCAAACTTCGAGGACAATGCCGCTTACCAGCGCTCCAATTCGGTGGGTGCCCTGGGCCAGCAGAGCGGCGTAAGCGACAGCGACTGGGGTGGCTGGCAGGAGAATGCCAACAACAAGACGCACCTGACTAGCTCCAGCTCATACCACAACCAATTGAGTAGCAACAGCATGGGAGGCACCGCCACCGCCGGCCTCACCCACGACGCCGACTGGTCGGGATTCGAGTCTTCGTCTAATTACCAGAGTTCGGAGACCTCCTATCAAAACGCTCCATCGGGCGGATCGACAGCCCGGCGGAACATGAAACTGCAGGACACGTCGCAGAAACTAAGCGAAGGTTTCGACAATCTGGACGTGAAGAATGTCAAGGCGAAGCCAGCGGCAACGGGTGGCAACAAGGCCACCGCCGAGGACGATGCCTGGGACCTGTTGATGAACTAAGAAGCGAGTGTATTTTTTTTTATTCCACATTCAGTTCGTTATATGTTTCCTTCTGTTATGTGTCTTGATGTGAGGAGGCTGCTGAGCGCGCATTTAATGTAAAGTTAACTGAATAAGTTGTATTCCCCAAACACTATCGGCCGGCATGGCTTCAGTTTCAGAAACAGAATATGCAATTTCCATTTATTTCAGCATTTTAGACCAATTTTGTATAGATCTATCTACCTAACGAATTACTTAGCATAAAAGATATATATACCAGCACTCTGAAGTATGAAAAGATGAGAAGAAATACAGATTATGTTAACAAGTGTAATGTGACTTTTAAAGATGATTTTAATTCTTTAATACCAGTTCATATTTTAAAATTACTTTCCATTCTAAAATATCAGGCAATTAGCGTAGATATTAACCTTACATTTTACCTATTCTTGGAATATAATAGAAACGAGTAATCGAGCGCGAAATTTAAATTCAACAAATAGGAGAACAGGACTCACTCTTTCGGTCCCGACATATAGTTTACAGAGAAACAACCCGGAAAAAGTTGGATACGCTCTAAACATAAAGTTTTTAGCCATTTATTAGTGTTCGTACATTTAGTTTTCAAATTAAATCATTTAAAAATAGAGTTCGATTTACAAAAACTAGAAGCTACATAAAAAAAGCCGCGCATGGTCGCTCGCGGCACTCATGAGATGCTTTTTGCTTGGCGCCGATAATGAATGAACGAATTCAGATAACTGCCACGGGGGATTGGGACTTCTGGGATGTTATTCGGAGACTACTTAACCAAGTATTAGTACGTACGGTAATATTATGCGTAATGAATATTCCGGCATGAGTGTGTGGGCTTGGGGATAGCGGGTGGTGTGAGGTGTGCGTGAATTGAGGACATGGACCGGAACGGGTCTAAAATTATCGTTACGGGTGGTTCTATCGCTTATCTACTGCAGATATAGCCTATGATAATCGTTGGCGCCAAAGGCGCAGTTGCATTTGGGACACTTCCGTTGCCGCGTCTCATAGCGCGTGCGCAGGCAGTCGTAGCAGAAGACGTGGAAGCACTTGGACAGCACAGCGTCCTTTCGCTTCACCTTGCACGAGGGACACGTGAGCGTCTCCTTGTACTCACGTATCTCCTCGATCATCACCTCGTCGATGGTGGTTCCCGACATCTCCATCTTCTTCATGCGTTCCGCCTTTCGCTTGAACTGCGCCAGCTCCTCCTGCAGCCGCTTTGTCTTGTAGGCCTCTGCTTCCAGCGAGCTGGTCTTTTCGGCCACCACCTGCTGCGCCTCCTTCATTTGCGCGTGGTACTTCTCCAGATGGAGCTTCAGGTCTGCCGCCGATTGGGCCGACTCGATCGCCTTTCGCTTGTGCATCTCCATGGCCTGCTGCCGCAGCATCAGCTCCTTCTCGATGGAGGCCACGGTGGCCTGCAGACTGCGCTCCTTCTCCTCCAACTTGCGCAGAACAATGTGCATGGCCTCGATCTGCGTGGTGGCCGTGGCCATCTGGTCTTCCAGCACCGTCTTCTCCTCGCGCAACAGCTTGTGCAGCTGGTTGGCCTTGATGCGCTCCGACATAAGTTTGAAGTTGGCGTCGTCCTTCTCGCGCAACTGCTGTATGAGCCTGGAGTTCTGCTCCTGCATATCCTCAAAGGCCTGCCCCGTCACCTCCATCTCGTTGAGCAGCGCTTCCTCCTCGTGGGAGCCGACGAAGGGCCGTGTGTAGTTTGCCGTGCCGGGTGCTCCACTGCCCCACGCGTTCTCCGAGGGCTTGTGGTTGGCCATTTGCTTCTGCAGCTCGTACTTCTGCTCCTCCAGCTGCTTGATCTTACGCAGTGCCTCCTCGTCGGCCAGCTTCTTGCGCTCCTCGCGCTTGCTTTCCTGCAGCTTTTTAAGCTGCTGGCGCAGCTCCTCGATCTCGGAGCGCAGCTTCTTCTCAGTGGCCATAAGTTGCACCTTGTCGCGCTGATCCTTCGAGACGCCTTTGTACATGTCCAGCAGGAGTTTCATTTCCTTTTGGTCGTTCAGCGCTTTTCTGTAGGAAAAAAGGTCAATTAGGAACAGAAAAGAGCGCTATATGATGACTTACTTTAGTTGTGCCCGCAGATCTCGCATGGCTTCGCTTTCCACTGCCTTGACATCCTTCCCCTTGACACCGTCCTTGGAATCCTTTTCGTTCTTGACCGTCCCACCGCCGGAACTGGAATTCGTCGATGAAGCATTCGTGGAATTTCCTGGACCAGGGGAGTCTTTCTTCTCAGCTGCCGCCGCCGCTGCCGCTTCTCCAGCGGTGAGCTTCTCCTGCTTGATACTGCCGTCCTTGACATCTTTAACATCGTCATCAGCCTCGTCTTCGGCCGAAACGGAGTTCTCTTCCTTGATGTGGGCGATGTTTGGGTCGCTGCCCGAGGAATTATTTTGATTTGACTGGCCACAGGAGGAGGCATTGTTGGAGTTTTCTTCCTTCACGCTCGTGGCGTTCTCCTGCTTGACTTCTTCGCCAGCGGCAGCACCTGATTCCGACTTCAGCTTGTTGCCTTCGAGCGTGGCTAAAGCCTCGTCCAGCTCCTTGCGCAGCTTCACGTTATCCGTGGATGTGTCCTTGTATTTGCGCTTGTAACGCTGCACCTCTCCCTTCAGCTGTCCGTTGTGGTTCTGCAGCGAGGTGATTAGGTGCCGCATTTCGCGGTTAATGGGCGCCGTCTGTTCGTTGGCGGCCATGTTCTGCTCGAACTCGATGCGTAACGCTTCGTACTCCTTGCGAATAAGAGCCAGCACGTCCTCCATTTGGATCATCTCGCTGCGGACCTTCTTCTGGGCAATTAGCTCCTCGCTCTCCATCACCTCGATTTGCCGAAGATGCTGGTTCTTGCTCGTCTGCAGTTGATTTCGGGTCTCGTCCAGCATAGTCTTAATCTGCATGGACTCGTTGTAGAGCACGGAGAACTGGCTCTGTAAGCACTTGTATTCCGTGGTCTCTACAATTACCGACTCGGGCAGTTGTCGTATCTAAAATGGTTTGAGATTCGCAATTACACAATGTTTAAGATATGAAATACAATACATAGTTAGTTGACTTTCTCTTAAACCCAGCTGATCCTATACTTACGTCCATCTTGAGCTTCTCCACCTCCTTAAGGGTCTCCCGATGCGTGGCGTGTAGTTTGTCCAGCTCCTGCAGGCGATTATTCGCCAGTTCACGATACTCCTCCAGCTCCTTTTGAAGTTCCTCCAAGTGCTGGCTATTCACGTTGGTTGTGGTGGTGCCCATGGCCGTCGAGGCGGGCGTCTTGGCACTGTTGCTGCTCTTATTGGGATCACCGTAAATCTGATGGTAGGCCTTCAGCTTCTCAATGGCCTCGGCCAGGTGGTTCTCTAGTTTGTCGTTCCGGTAGTGAATCTTCTCCAGGTCATACTGCAACTCGTCGATCTGGTTCTTCAGTTCGGCGTTCTCCGTCTCCTTCGCGGTGTGCGCGTCCTGGTACTCCTTCATCTTCAGCGACATGGTGTGGAACTTCTCGTGTAGCGAGGTATTCAGATTCTGCAGCTTGTGGTTCTCGCTCATGATCTCGATGTGAGTCTGCTTGAGCGTTTCCTCTAGCGCATTGACGCAAGCGGCGGCGCTGGTCGCCGACTCCGCATCGCCACTGGACTGCTGCTGCTGCTCCTCGTCCCCGGCCGCCCCAGATCCAGCTGCTGAGCCGGCCAGGCTATCACCTTTCAATACATGAGTTATCTTCTCGTTGCGTTGCATTAACCTATCAATAACCTGGACGATCTTGGCCACCGCCCGCTTTGACACTTGCACGCGGTTGGCCAGCTTCTCGTCCAGCTCCTCCTTGTCCCAGGTGGACAGCTGCGCGAGAAAAGAGGTGGTCACCTCGTTCTCGTTGCGGTTCTCCAGCTCGTCGGCCGTCTCGGCATCGAAGCGCTGTAACAGGACGCGAATGTCCTCGTTCAGCTGATTCCAATACCGATTGACCACGTTCAGCACGGCGTCGTCCTGCGTCTGCCGCTTCTCCAGCTGTTCGATGCGGTGCCGGAGTTCTGCCTCCGTGCGCATCCGCTGCTCAATGCGCTGCGCGAGCTTCTTGTTCTGAAACTCCAGCACCTTGATGTCCATCTCCTCCAGCGTAGACACCGGCCCAATCAGGTGCGGCTCGAAGTGCACCTTCTTGATGGGCGGCTGGCCGGCGGCGGCGGCTGCCACCAGGCCGCTGCTGGCGCCACTCCCGCTCCCGCCGCTGGCGTCGTCCGCGCTGCGTTTCGACATCCTTGCACTGCAAGTAAACAGACAAAAGAGGAACCCTGGCGAATCTTAGTGGCGAAAAACATCAACCTTCCGCATTATTGATTTGCCATTCGTGGCTGTACTCCATTTTTTATCGTGTGCGGCGGCGGCGGCAGAGGCGTGAAAAGTACCCGGCCCTGCCGACGCCAGCGCACCGTTCGCGGCGGGGAAAGTGGAGCGGGGTCTGGGGCTTACCTTAATCTCGGGTTTGTACACTTTTAGCTCAACATTAATTAAGGTTTCCTCTTGGTTTTCTACGTTTTGTAAATCCTCATCAATTTCATTTCGCTTTGGGGGCTGGAGTTTGGTCACACTATATATTTTCACACCGGTACGGTAACACTTTTCACTACTCCCTCGCATTTTCGATAACACTATCGATAGCTCGTGCGAAGCTACCGATTGACACTATAAAATACCAGAATATACTGGATGGGAGATTTAAATATTTGAAAAACAGATCGTTTTTTCAGCCACTTGCAAAATTAATTTAAATTTGGCAAATTGCTTGCAAATGTACAATATATTCTTTTAACTGCTCAGAAATTGTCCCAAAAACTTATTTTGCATCCATAGAGGTATTCAAAAAACGCTTGATTTAACTGGAAAATCGAAAGTGAATTTCAATTTATTAAGTAATTTGGGATCGAACACGAAATGCACATGCATGATGCATCTAATTTGATTAATGGTGGTGGCTGGGCTGCGTGCAGGACGCTGGTTGCGACTACTTGACTGGTGCGTTACAGGGACTTGGTACTGGAACTGGTACTGGTACTGGTACTGGTGATGCTGCTGCCTGGCCAGGATTAGAAAGTCTGGTACTTGAGGGCCTGGCGCAGAGTCATGCAATCGACCTCGTCAATCTTGCAGGTATTCGCCTTGATGTTGATCTCCTCCTCCTGCATCACCTGGACGTGCATCAGGTAGCGCATGGAGGCCTTGTTCTCGTTCAGCTTCTGGTTGAGCTTGCAGACGGAAGCCTTCAGCGCCTGCAGTTCGTTGTAGAGCGCGTCCTGGACCATGTCGCAGGTCAGCTCCAATCCGGGCCGGTGGGCGCGATTGCTCAGGCGCGTCTGGCACAAAGTGATGGCCCGCTGCTTGTCCATCATCTCCTTCTCCAGCTCAGTCATGTTGCGCTGCACCTGGTGGATGTGGTCCATTGTGTCCTTGTGCTTGTTCTCCAAGCACTGCTTCACGTGCTTCGTCTCCGCAATCCGACGCTCGAAGGCCTCGTTTGTGCGGTCCGTCTGGTTCTGCATGTCCTCGCACACCTGCTTCAGCAGCAGATCGATGTAGGCACGCAGCTGTCCAGCGGACACCAGAGCCTTGGCGTTGGCCTCCAAATTCTCGTACGTCTGCGCCTGCCACTCGGTCAACGAAAATTGGCTAAAAGAGTGGGATGTGGATGAGGACACAGACAGATAGCGAAAGTTAGTGGAGTCATGGCAACCATCGGATCGATTTATAAAGAAGTGTTTTCTATTTTTGTGAATTTTCTAACCGATATTGCCTAGGAAACTATATTGACCTTCCTCAATCGAGGTTAGATGAAATTAAAGATGTAGCTTAGAAAAATTTTAATTAACCTAGAAACTTGGTAAATTAAGTGTTACTTTACAAGATTAAAAACTAAATTAAAACTGAATAAAAACGAAGCTGACATAAAACGTCAAATTAGGTCGAGAATTGGGGGCTCCAGGAGTTGGTAAAACGTGTATTAAAGTTTAGTTTGAAGAAAGTTCATATTATAATTTAATAGTGATTGATTTTTAAGATTCTTTGATATCTCATTTTCCCTGTCCTGGATATGCTATGCGAAATATTTTGGAATTGCCCAAAGGATTAAAAACAGAAACCTACCAGTGCTGCTTGGAGAGATCCTGACCCTTGCCCAGGTCATGCTGGAAGTCCTTGAGCTTCAAGTTCTTCTCGTCGATGGCCAGAGACTTGTCCTTGGCGGCCAAATCCTGATCGAGCAAATAGATGGCGGCACGCAGCTTGCGGATCTGCTCCTCGGCTTCCTTGAGGGCGGCATCGGCCAGTCCCTGGCAGCCCTTAATTACCTTGAGTTCGCGGCGCAGTGAGCGGTCCACCTCGTCATCGCAGAGATCGACCCCGATCCGGCCTTCGCGCAGGATCAGGCACTGCTTGCAGATGGCCAGTGATTTATCCTTGAGAAACTCAATGCAGTTGAGCACCCGGTTGCGATAGGTGTTGAGCGCCTCATCCTCCAAGGCGGCGGTCTTCTTCTGTCGATTCAACTCATCAACAAGAAAGCGAATCTCGCTGGTGCGTTCGCGCATGTGGTGCTCCACCTCGCGCTGCCAGTTCTTGGTCGTGTCCTTCGTCTCATCGACTACGCGGCGCGACTCCCTGGATGGTGATAGGTCATCAACTGGAATCCGTTCACCCAAAATTCACACCATTCCCCCGATATACTCACTCCACGATCCGCTCGGCGAGCTTCTCCTGGTCGCAGGTGATCCTAAACTTGATCTTGTTGTTGTAGTCCCAATCCTCCTCGGAATAGCGAGGCGGGCACTTGGCCACCGGGCCCAGATGCTTCCCGGCCAGCTGGAGGCCCGTGATGCGGCGCGACTTCAGATTGGGCAACATCTTACTGGAATTGCGATTGGAATCGGAATGGGGATTAAGGTTGCGTAAGAAACAAAAGAATGTATGCAGGGATAAGCGCTCCGTGTAAAGTGTAACTGTCGCTGCAAAATCTCTACACTCGATTGCCCCCACCTGGCACACTTCTCGAGCTGGGAATATTTCGAGTATGTACCTGGCTGGCTGGCTGCCTGTCGCTGAATCTCAGCCGGAGTCGGAGGAGAGTCGCTGGCGACCTGGGACCTGGAACGACCTCAGTGGCCTACCCTCCGCTCCCACGGGCTTCGTTAAATCGATTCATGCTAGGGAATTTACGGTTGCCTAGCGGTATTTATTGTTATGTTGCTTAACCCCCGATTTCCCCGCTGAATGAATTCCTTTAACCTAACACGGAGAAATAAATTTGACATTTAAATGAATCATCTATGGGATCTAATACAAGAAAAATATTCCAAGAAGTTACCCATAATAATAAGTATTTAATTCATTTATTAATTAAAGATGAAATGTCTTCGATACTGAATTAAAACTAATGCATTAAATATTTCTAATTTGAAATGCTCACCAATTTTTGTTTCCGTGTACCGGCTCCATCCGTCGGCGTGCATGTGCTTGTCCAATGCGCTTGTGCCGTGTGTCACCTGGCAGTCAGTCCAATTGGGCACACGGAGCTCAACTCTGGCAAAGCAGCTCCGCCGGTGAGTCCACATAGTTGCTCCTGCACCTTGCGGTCCCGTCTTACGGCATGTTTATAAATAGTTTTATGCCGGAGACATTTTGGGTCGGGGGAACTGGAGGATTGAGCCACTGGCAGCTCCTCCTTGATCGATTTATGCTAACATACTTTCGCTTTTGCGCCTTCGTTTTCAGATTCGACGTTAGCATACTGGTCTTCTCCTTGATACTTTTTACTTTATTGCAAAGTTTTTGGCATTAATTATGCTAATCAATGGCATTTGCGTGTCTAAGTGGGTGGGACTAAAAATAAAGAACCACCTATGATTGGATTTGGCATTTGCACTAACAGTTTGAGATGATTTGCGAGGTTTAAGGGCCACTTGGAAAACAGGACCGGTCTAAGGTGGATAGAGGCCTTCCATAAAGGGCCGACGAGCACCGATAGTTTGCGGAATGATATTTTTTATTGTATTATTAGAAGTTTAATGACTACTTATTCTTAAACAAAAAATTAAATCAAATTAATTGTCTCATACAAAAATGATCAAACTTTCATTGTCACAACTAATGAAGAAAGTTAAGTCTGTCAAGAGGATGTAACAACTTCTTTAAAAAACATATATATTTTATTAAATATATTATTTTGCTTTGCCATTGCAGGGTATTTTAATTTCAGTCAGAAGTTTGAGACGCAGTGAAGGAATAATTTCCGACCCTATAAATCATATATATTCTTGATCAGCATCAACAGCGAAGTCGATCTAGCCATGTCTGGTCAAAAAATACATTTTTAAAATTTTTCCAAAAATTAAAAAAGAAATATATAAGGGGTTATACATCGTTTACGTTTTCAAAATTGGACAAAAAATTGAATTTTCCAAATTTTAAAAATCAATATGCAGATTCGTTAACCCTATACAAATTAGCATAGAAAAGCATTCCGTATTGAAATTAATGCATTTTTGGCTTAGTGGCTCTAAAACCGATCACAGTTTTGGCTGTTTGTGAGGTGAACTCAGTCTTAGAGCCGCTGCCAAGCCCCTATGTTCAGCAGCTTAAAAGCTTTCGCCGGCGAAGCTTTCGAGGGAATCCCAGAGAGTCGGACATTTATATTAGGTTTTTCTTTTTGTAAAATTAAGTTTTTAATATATTACGATACACATTTTTGCCATATACATCTTTTATATCCACATAGTCGTATATACGCACTGCGCTTACAGCTAACTGATAAAAATGTACAATTTAATTAACTAGGATCTCTGGATGATGTCGTCGGTCGGCGACGTTATGCTAAATGGTTCGCTCTTTGTTATCATTTTATTATTTTGGGTTTCTTCCGTGTTTCGGTTTCGGCTTTTCGTTTGGCTTCAACGATCTTATGGCTTATGGCAGCTCGTCCAGAACTCTCCTCCTCCTTCTCCTCCGCTTCGATTTGGTTATTTTGGTAACATATTTTCGGTCTAACGAAAGACTGTTCTTCCTACGAAATAACTATAATTAGGCCTCGCTGTCTGCGTGTGTGTTTTTATGGTTTATTAACAGTGAACTTTGAAATTCTATTCCTCCTCTGCCCTCGGGGATAAGTACAATTACTCGCGGTTGGTAATTAACATTATAGTTAGCTGGACTGTACAGTTTCGTTTCTGGATTTGGGATTTCAATTGGTTAACTTGGCTATCTAAGAACTCGGGTGAAGAAGCAGTGTTCCTGCCGCCTCTGGTTTCTGGCATCGCCCTTGGTTTTGGGTTTGCTTTAAATTCATTACTTGCGATTTGTTTTTTTGTTTATTGTAGTTTGTAATTTGTTGCTAGTTCTTTTTTTAATCTTTGTTTTGTTTCCTCTCTCATGTAGGCAGTGTTACATCTTTCTGGGTTGCTTTTTGTTTTTAATTTGTTCGATAGTTAGTTTCTCCCCATTTTCTCTTCGTTAGTTTAAGATTTTCTCTGTTTTTTTTACACAATTCTTGGCTTTAGCACATTTGCTCAACAATGAAAATAAGTCGATCGTTTCCTTCCACAAATTGAAAACAGTTTCATTTTTCGGTTTTGTGTGGGTATTTTTTTCTTCTTATTTTTCTTACATTTAAAAATAATGATTCGTTTAATAAAAAATACAAAATACATTTAGCAGTAAAACAAGAACCAAAAACACAGAAAGAAAAGTAAGTGTACAATGAAAAAATATATATATTTGTATAATAATATATACTCTTTTGTTGTTGTTTCCTAATTTCTCGATTTTTATTTTGTAGTAATAGTTCTGTTTCGTTTCTGTACTTTAGTTGGTAGAGTTAATCCTTTGTTAAGTTCTTTTATTTGCATCGCACAGTGTTTAGCTGTTTGTGTAACAAAAATAATTGCTTTTGAGGTATTTATTCTTTTGTTTATATAAATATTCTTTATACACATCATAACCGTTATAAGTATTTAGGTTCTTAGTCGCTTTCATTTTCCATAGTGGGTTTTCCTCTTCACTCTTCTCCGCTTTTCTTTATATTTTCGTTTCTTTTTTATAGTTTTTGTAGTTGTCTTGTCTTTTTAAACAATTCAAAGCACCTTTTGATTATATATATTTGAAATTGTAATTTTTCCCTATTTTTCTCTTTACAAAAAATATATGCGGAAACTGAAAGGGAATATAATCAAAGTACATAAGATGTTCCCCCTTTGGGGCTTATCGTTGTGGCAGCGTTTAGCTTCTCAGTACGCGGTATTATTTTTGTTTCTCTCTTTAGTTTCTTCATTAATTTAAAAACAAAAATTGACAAAAAAGCAACAAAAGCTTAAATGGAACCAATATTAAAATAGGGAGAAGTCCCTTATGCGAGCAAGTTACTTGATTTATTTTACAATCGTGCTGAGGGGGAAACCTGTTACTCTTTTATATAGTTTATGTTTGTTATTTAGTTTATTTCGTTAACGTTCTAGTTTAGTTTATAATTTACATTTCATTTAAGTTTGTGTCTGCTGCTGCTGCTGTCCCTAAGACCTATAGTCTCTACATTTGATGCCTACCGTAAAAGGTGATCGAAATATGAAAAAAAAATATGTAAAAACAATTGGAAAACCGCGCTATACACTTAAAGTAAGCTTCACGAAGAGCAATTCCTAGCCATGATTATGGTGGAGCCACTAACTCACACATATTCCATCTATCCCTCGAAGTAAGAACCCTCCTTGCTTTCAATTACAGGGATTAAACAAGAGTTAAAACAAAATTAAAGTGTGTTGCGTGTGTGTGTGTACATTTGAACTAAATTGTGTAAACCTTTTCGCCTATATAAAACATAAGTGTAAGTATAGTATTTATACATAAACACGGATAAGTTGGGGCTGGGTTCGGTCTGGCTGCGATCTCTAGCCTGCCATCTCTCTAGGTCGTATATATATAGTAAACCTATAGCATATGTTTATGTGGATGTCTCTCTCTAACTGTAGTATCTCTAGATGTATCCAAAAACGAACGCTCTTCTCCCTATCCTTCTCATCATCGTTATCATTATCATAATCCGATCCGAGCACGCTCTCATTAACAAAACAACAATTCCTGCTCCTGCTCCTGCTCCGGCTTCGTCTCCATCGCTGCTGCTGCTCATCCTCCTCCTCCTGTTCCTGTTCATTCCGAATCCTTGGCCAAGCCCTCCACACTCCACATACATATATACGTCATAATAGTAACTGTCAATTTCTCTGTCGGGGGAACGGGGGCGGTGTTGGTGGGATGCGTTGGATAGGTTGGATGGATGCTTGGATGGGAAGCTACCGCTCCTGTGCCAGCAAACCTTCTTAGACCATCGGCAATCCTTGCTGGACATCCATCATCTCGTCCTGCGCCGGCGAAGGTCGCGGCGCAAACGTCTGCATATGGTGCGGTGGCGTGGCCCTGGCGAACATTCCGGAGCGCTGCGGATGGCCATGCATGGCCATTGAGGCATTGGGGCCCGCATTGGCGGACGGGAACTGAAGCCGGAAGCTGCTGTCCGGCAGCTGGCGGGGTGTGCGTCGGGGGGAGCGCGCCGGCATCCGATTTGCCCGGTGCATGTCCTCCAGTATCGAGGGCGCAACGTAGGTGAAACCCTGCAAAAATAAGACAAAATAGGAAATGAGAAAACCTTGAGCCAACTTGCCATCTAGAGTGTGACTCTCCCCCAATCCGTGACCCACTTGCCCGGTCGTGTGCGCAATTGGAATCGGATCGGGCAACTACACTTGCTTAGTCCGAGTCCAGTCGGTGTCGATCCGATTCCCGTCTTGCATACTAATACTGCCCCCTCAGTAGTTGGCGAAGCAGGGATTATGCAAGCCCCTGGGCACTGGATTGGGCTCGGACTCTGGCTGCTCCATGTAACACATTTTACATAATTTCCCAGCCCCGGCGTGGAGAGACATTAATTAAATATATTTGTCTTGACGAAATCCACCGGCAAATGCAATAAAATAATTAAAAGCAAAGCAAAATCAAGCAACAGCCGGCTGCCGTGTGTAAATTCCCCCCGGCACGGAGGCTGGACAGAAATGCGTGACGCCATCAGGAGGGGAGATTACTGTTGGCGGCAGGCGCGAAGCGGGAGGCGGGAGGCACTGTCGCTGCCAGGTGAAATGTACGTGAGAGCACCGCGTTCGCTAATTGGAACTGCGATCGAGCGCTGACCCACTAAGGCATCATCATCATAATTCGAGGTGCGCCAAGCGAGCGAATCGCACTGAGAAAGTGTGCATTATCCGTTAATAAAGTTCTAATTGAATCCCAGATTGGACCTCAATCAGGTGCAAATTGAATCCATTTCTTGCAGTGCTTTCTCAGCCTGATCTTCGAGCTTCATTAGGTAATTAGCAGAACTTTGCACGATGAGATAACCGCACAGTTTGGCCAAAACTGTTTGGTAAGAGTGTTTGGTAACAAGTTCGGCAAAGTGAAATCGTTAATAAGAACCCCATTTCATGAATCTCTTAATGTCTGACTTGCAGTTTAATCAATTATAAAATAAATAGCTTAATTAGTATGCTGTAAGGTCTGTTAATTTGTACTCTTCTGTCACTTTATATGGATTTTAAAATATTACAATTAACCAGTAATGACACCAAAGTAAAAGATAAATACCTTATGTAAATGCTTCTTACTTTCAAACCAGATTTCAGTAAAGGTTCTAGTGCTCGTGGAAAACTTCTAAAACCTTTTCACACCTTCAAGAGCAGAGCTAAAAGTACCCGTACCCATTTCCGGCGCTTCAGCTACTCTACTGCAACCTTAATTAGGCAATATTTAACAAGACATTTAGCCTACTAATCCCATAAACCCATAACCAAAACAAACTTTACACAGCTTACCACCAAAGCAGCTCAAGGGTCGTTCGACTCAGCCTGGTCACAGCACTCACTCTGGCACTCGCACTCGCACTCGCATGTTTGTAAACAAATAAAACAAAAAGCAGGAGGGAGCCAAGAGCGATCGAGCCAAATCCAGCCACTTGGCCACTTGGCTCCTCCACTCATTGCCAGTCTCGCAGAAATGCTCAAAGCGTTCGGACACCAGCAAGCACAACGGAGCAGCGAAATAAGAAAGAAACCGAACGTGAACTGGGAGTGACTTTCGTGTGCCTGAGCTGGAGAAAGGCCTGCCTGGTGCTGGTGAAGTGGAGTGGAGAGTGAAGAGCCCGGTTCAGCAAGCATTTTTGCAGGTCGTTTAGGCAGGCGGGCCGATTTTCACCGATGACATTGATTCTGGGCCAATGTGCAGCGTCATTGGCGTCATTGGCGGGTTCAGGGCTATCGGGGATTACAGCCAGTTGGTAGCTGTGTTAGCTGGGTATCAGGCAGCTTGTAAACCCAAAAAACAAAACCAGTTGAAGGGCAACGAGACCAGCTGCAGAGCGAGAGAAACTCGGCGCGCAGGCGTGCACGTGCACAAGACTCACTCAGAGAGCGGAATTTAACCGAAAGTGGGACAAGACCAGAACCAACACCACCAGCTGAGTGCCAGTGCTCGTCAAACTGTGCGCGGAAGTGTTAAATTCACTTAAACGAGATTGCATAAGCACCCAAGAAACCAGCTAATAAAAGAAATATAACCACAATAAATGTACGTAAAAAAAGTGTAAAAAATGTGTGAAAATAATAATAACATACGATAACACAAAAGCCAAGCTTTGTTCGTTGTCGTCGTGACTTTGGTGGGGTAAAAACCAAGCGAAAACTTAACTTTACACTGAGCAACGACACAAAACAACACACAGCACACTCAAAAAAAAAAAACCGAAATAAAAAAAACAAAGATACCAGCTGTATGTAAAGGAAAATCATTGCGAGCCAAATTTAAGCACCTAAAATAATGTCCAAGTACTGGAAAATAAATTCACTTTCGTTGCTACATTGCCTGGCAGCGTGGCTAACTGTGGCGACGGTATTGCAACAACCTCCGCAGCAACTACTGCAGCAGCAACCAAGAGATACTGCAGCAACATTAGACAACACAAGACTCTTGAATGCAACTTCGGATGGTGGCATGGCTGCCACTTTCATCGACAACACCAGCAGCAATATCAACAGCAACGGCAACAGCAATCACATCAACAACCATGAAGCCTCCTCTTTTGAGCCGCAGCAGCAGCAGCAACAGCAGCAGCAACAGCAACCACCAACAATGCAATTTGCACATATAACGCCATTAGATAAAGAAGTAGGTATGCATCAACAAAAACAACATTCAGCAACTGCATCAGCAGCAGCAAACGGATACTGCCTTATATCGATACCCTCTTTTTTGATTCGACGTGATAGCTTCTCCCATTTTAATGGGGGTTATTAGACAAGGTTACCAAAATATAGTTTTTGAATAGTTTAAGAAATGAGATAAAGCTAGGACTCACTTTATTTTGACAATTTTAACGATGTAACCTCATCTATTGATTCTGATCAAGAATATATATATATAGTTTATAGGGTCGAAAGTGACTTCTTAAATGCTCTTCAAGCTTCTGACTAAAAAAATATTACCATGCAAGACTATAAAAGAAACACACACTTAGCTTACCTTACTCAAAAATTAACTCTTCCCTTAGTGATTTGATCAAAGCATTGATTTTAATCTATTTAAGCTCCAATTTAAGCTTTAATTAATGAAGGTTTACCTTCAAGAAGCTTGAAAACGACTTAGAACAATTTATGCCACCCCATTTAGGGCAGTGTAATGCCGCTTTTCTTCCCACTCTTAACACTCCTCCCTAATTGCGCCTGCACTCATATGACAAAGAGAAATTTTCGTCACGATTTAGCTGAACGACCTGATCGTTTGGCACTCGCTTATGGCCGGGGAGCCGCCTCATCAACAGGCCGCCAACCAAAGTGCGTTTTTATATGGAACAGCGGTAGTCGGAACTCACCACCTTCGGTGGCATTAAAATTTTGCGAATTAGCCACAACAGAAAGGCAAGGGCATAGAAAGGCGGCAGAGGCGAAGGTGGGGGAAGAGAAGATGGCCAGCACCTGGCCAAGTCGGAGCTTTAATCGTGAAAGTGAAATTTATTACACTTGAATTTGAAAACGAAAATCAGAGCGCTAGTCCCAAAGAGCCAGAGCTTTGGGAAAGGGAGGTGGTGGTGGATGGCCAATGGCCGAGTAAGTTTGGGTAATTTCACGGGGACGGGCACTGGAAATGGGGCTAATTAAAAACCCAGCCCAGCCATGCTAACCGTGCCTATCTGGGCCTTTCCATCTCTAATTGCAGTCGATCGGCTGATCAAGCAGTGGGCACCCATCGTTTGGCTGGCGCCCGAGGAAAAATTTATGCCACTGGGCGTGGAGGAGTTCCTGCAGTACGTCCATCCCATGGATAAGGACAGCAGCTTCCGACCAGGAGTGCCCTTTAGAGATTACTCGACCAAGTCGCATTTGGTCACAAACGGCGAGATACAGGATCTATTGGAAGACGATAATTCGTTTCTGTACGGCCGCAATCCCAATGAGAAACCGGTGCCCATCTATGGTGTGGTCACAATGTGTCCGTCGAGAAGGGAGCTATCTGGGCCACCTCCGCAGCCGCAACACACTCCTCTACCAGTTAGCACACGGGGTCCCTACATTCCCGTCTCCATCGATCCCCTCGAAGAACGCAATGACACCATTCGGAGATCCTCAAGACTTTTTCCACTATTCCAGCGGGTAAAACGACAGGCTCCTGTAGCGAATCCCAAATACAATCCACTCAACGCGTACGAGGAGCTGGTAATGGAGCCCACCCAAAAGCCACCACCAGATCAGGAGCTGCAACCAGATTCAGAGGGAGGTGTGCCGGTGAATAACTTCATAGCCAATCTGGCGGACAATGTCAAGTTCAGCGGCGGAACGGATCCCGACGACAATCTGGAGGACAACAGCATTGGCAAGGCCCCTGAACAGGAGGCGAATCAGGGGCAGGGCAAGCTACCGGGCTTTCATGTCACCTACTGGATGTTCTATCCCTACAGCCAGGGCAAGACCATGTGCACCGTGAGTCTGGGTCCCCTCGGAAGGATTCCTTTCCCCGCTGTCTATGGTTATTGCTTGGGCAATCGCAAGGATATTGGCAGCCATGTGGGAGATTGGGAGCACATGAGTTTGTACTTCAATGGGGATGCAGAGCCGCAGGCCATGTATGTGTCGGCCCACGATGCGGGTGCCTACTATAGTTACAATCGACTGACGGGCTCCTTTGAGTTCCGCCGCCAGGAGACACGCAAGGGAATCTTGCAGCGCCCGAACTTTCCCAAAACAGTGACGACATTTAAGAACCATCCGGTTCTGTTTGCCGCCAAGGGATCGCATGGTCTGTGGACGGCGCCAGGGAAGCATCGATTCGTTAAGGTGGCTCGTCTGTACGACATTAACGGATTCGGCACGCCCTGGAACACTTGGAAGGCCGTCGATATAAGCTACGAGAATGTGAGATCCTATGGTAAGTATTATAACCTTTTATACTTTTAAATTCCAACTTTAATCCCTTCTTTTGGATATTGGGCAGGCCGCTCTTTGGTGCCCGATTGGCTCACGTATCGTGGCAAGTGGGGTAATCCCAAGAGTAAGTGTCATCCCTTCCGGCGGATTGGCCTGAACTTCTGCGAGTTCACGGACGGACCCACTGGAATACCGCTCAAGGAGCCCCACTTTCAATGCGGTGCTGACTATCGCTAAGGACGAAGAGATCCCTTGCCTAGGCTTAGTCTATAGTTTAGTAATGTATTTATTGTGAAACCAAAACCCAAAAAGATATCCCATTAATGACTAAAAAGAAAATGCAAAAGTTAACAAAAAATGTGGGTTTCTTTGCCAGGATTACATATAAAAAAAAAAACTAAAAGCCTTCCCAGGAAAAGGATTCAAATTTCAAGAAAACTAACCTCAGTCTTCGTTCAATATTTGATACATCAAGGAACTGTAATTGATATGAACCCGATACTGTTGTCTGCTATCTATAGGCCTTTTCATTTCAATCTTAATCTCTATCCCAATCTGTTCTCTACTCACTTGGAAAATTAAATTGGCACTTTCGCTCAGCGTTGTATCATCCGGTGAATCCACTGGTATTTGTCTTGTAAATCTCGTATCGAACTGTGAGACATCGTCCTCGCTCCGCTGTTGGGTTAGAAAACAATTCAAAATAAGAAAAAGCTAAGGAAAATTAAAAAGTGACAACGTACCAAAAGCGGTTTAATTGGAGGTTCGAGGCGTCTAGCTAAAACATCGTCCCAGTTGACGTGCTTGAAGAATGGATGTATTTGAACAGCCGCCGCATCCTCAGGACCACTGCCCAGGCGTTGGGGCTCCTGGCGCTTCATCAGGCGACGCACCAGATCCCTGGCTTCTGGTGTGAGGTAGGCTGGCAAATTGAGCTTGGCTTTCAGAATGGTCTCGATGGTCTTCTTTCGATTCTCGGCGGTGAAGGGAGGCTATTGGAATTTGGCTGTGATTAAGAAGTCCAAGAAATACAAGCTGATAGCTTACCACTCCCGTAAGCATGTCGAACATGAGTGCGCCAAGTGACCACCAATCTACTGCTTTGCCATGGCCACTTCTGGTCAGAATCTCAGGTGCCCTGCAAGCAAAGAAAGAATAAGTCAGCTACGGATCCACTAGACCTCGGTTGGGAGAAAGGATAAAAGGCCGACGGGCGCACGCACATGTACTCAATTGTGCCGCAGAAGGTGTGGGTGACAATACCCTCTTGTATGTGCTCCTTGCACAGACCAAAGTCGGTGAGCTTTACATGTCCCTGGGCGTCCAGTAATATGTTCTCAGGCTTCAAGTCGCGATATATGATGCCCAGCTTGTGTAGATGGCCCAGGGCCAAAATGATTTCGCTCAGATAGAAGCTGCAATAAAAATAAAAAATTGTTAGTCTTTGAATTAATATTTTGTTGAACATTGATGTCTTTACCAAGTGGTATCCTCGAGAAAGATGCCCTCGCGCTCCAAATGCATAAACAGCTCACCGCCGCTTAGATACTCAAGGATAAGATATAGTTTTCCGTCCGTCTGAAAGGCGTAGACCAGCTCCACTATAAACGGATGCTAAAATGAGAGAAAAGAATAGCAATTAGTATGATTTTAAGGCGTTAATCCTAACCAATCGCACCTTGACTGCCTCAAGAATATTGCGCTCGGCGCGTGTGTGCGCTGTGTCCTTTTGGTTGGTCACTATCGATGCCTTCTTGAGCACCTTCATCGCAAAGTATTTGTTGGCATCTCGTCCAGCGGTCATGCGCACCTGTCAACGGATGTAAAGATAAGTTATGACCAGTTTGCGATCGGAATCTGAGGATCGACATACCTGAAATACTTTGCCATAGCCACCTTTGCCAAGGACCTTCTTGAGTTCAAAGTCCTTGGGTCCCAGCTTGATTTTGCCCGGATTGACATTTTCCTCTGATAGCTGTATGGTCTCCTGGCCCTCAGCGCTGATTAGGGGATTAGGGAAAATAGAGAATTGGGGAGTTGGTTAATTGCTGTCCTCTGCGTTGGGTGTTTGCGTCTGGGTCTGACTGGCTGGCTGGCTAGCGTGGGAAAGGAGCAGCCCACGTGCTATAAATAAATCCCATGGCGTGCACGCGCCAATCGTCACCTCTCTTACACCCTGTGCTCCTCCTTTCGCCTACTAGCAAGCCCAGCAGCTCCTCCATCACGGCTGTCGAGTGTTTGCCGTGAGTCTTGTTTACACATGGAACTAGCTGGCTCATTGAAGAGGCAGCCAGAGGCCGGGTGACAGCTTGTTGGTAGTCAATACCAGTTGTAAACACTTCTGTGCACCCCCGACTGTTCATCTGTCCGTCTGTCCCTCTCTGTTGCCGTTCGTTATCACCGTCCAGTGGAGTGGTAGTGCGCGTCTGTCCGGGATCAGGCTTTCCGAGCCGAATCAATCAGATGTTAACACTGTCAACGCGCTTTCGCAGTGTGCAAACACTGGGTCTGAGCTGATAATTGGCAATTAGGCTGCTCATTTCTGTCCCGACTTTATCTACGCGACGAGGAAGTCTGGATGGACTGCGATCCCTTCCTCCCAAACCCCTTTATGATCGGCCCGTGCGCGTATCTCCCCCACATTCTGAGAAAACCACAGTCATGTCGTTGTCCTCCAGCGACATTGCTGGGGTATTACTCACTCCTGGTGCAGATTAATACACAATTCCGGTTCTAGGTCAACCTGCGAACGAAAAGAGAGACGGAGACGGTTGTAAGTGTGAGTGAGCATAACTGCCAGCGGAATATGTATGCGAAAAATCAACAATTAATCATAGTTATTACGAACTTGAGACCGGACAGCAGAAGGGAAAGTTACACAGCACCAGCAGCAGCAGCAGGGAGCAACGAAGATAAAATGCTCTTGATCTTATCATTAATGCTTGAAAATATACCCTTTTTTATCTTTCTTACTTATTCATAAACAGTTTTGCGTTCTGGGTATATTTTTGTTGCGGGTAAGTAACATTAAGTTAGCAATTACACTTCCTAATGATCAGCTTAATGACTTTTTAATGCACAAAAGGCTAGAGTCTAATACATTTTTATAGACCTTAAAAAATATAAATAAGTAAAATCAGGAAAAATTAACAAACTGCATTAAGCGAAAAATCAGGAGACAAATTAATAACTGCTCATTGACCAGTATTTGGAATGCTTAAGTGAAAAATAACAAAATAAAGTAAATAAAAGTTAAACAATTCTTTTAATACCAGAAACATCTTCCCCATTCGGTGTTACCCCAAAACTTTAGCCAGCTGATATTTTTAACTGAGGGAGATTCCGATGAATGAAGAGATCGTCTCGGGACAGCCAGAGGGGCATGCTCTTGGTATTGGGTATTGGCTGTCTTTGGAGTCTGTGAATTTCTCCCCTTTCGATCTGCCCACACACACACATACACACATAGCACTCTGCACACACACACTGGGAAAGATGAGAAAAAGAGAATCCCACACAGAGATACACTTTCCGCACGCACACACACCTTTTCTTTAATGACAAACTAAATTTAGAACTCGGAACAATGCCAAATAATCTGCCGGCAATGCTGGCGCTGCCTCCGCATCCATCTGTCTCCCCCAGACGCTGTTGCTCCAACTGGGGGAAGGCCACAGTTAGGGGCAGCGGATGATGATGAAGAAGAAAAAGAAGCAGCAACGCCGCCACTCTCGTCATGCCTAAAATGTGTATAGAATATTTTTGACTAAAGTTCAATTGAATGGCGGCATCGGCATCTCGACATCGCCATCGCCAACATCTTGACGCTCTCGTCAGCACATTAAAAACTGGTTCACCTCGTCAGCGTTGGCGGTGGATTCCAATTAACGAATCCATCATAATTTATAGCGCTCACACGGCACCGATGGCTGGCGGCGGGTGCTTGCTCTGGGGGGTGTGTGCGCTTGCGTAAATCACATTTGACAAGCCGCCGAAAAGGGGGCGATGCGATATGATAAGAACACAAGCAGCAATATCGGTATCACGCTCCCCACTAGCCATGTGGATTCTCCTGAAGAGCTCTGCGCCCTTCCAAGGGGTGCATCACATACCCAAGAAATGTATGCCGTGCACAGGAAGAAATTAAGTCATACTAATGGGGTGTAGTATAGAAAAGTATTCAATTTTTTTAATAAACAGTATTCCCCACAAATCTCCCATAAAAACGTTTGTGATTCTAAAGTCCAACGCAAGGCAATTCATTAAATAAAATACAATTTAATTCCTATTACTTTAAGAAAAGCATTCAAAGCTATACAATCACACAAAGAAAGCCAAAAGAATTGATTTGTTGAAAAAATCCCCAAAGATTATGAAATAGGAAGTTTACTTTCAAAGAATATATAAGTATGTGAATAACCCATCAATAAGTTGCGTTCAGTGGACTTTTATGGGCTATATTTCCTAGTGTGCAGTTGCAACTGGTTCTATATAGTGGAACCCGAAAAATATTACCGATCCGCACGGTCGCGATCACGATCACGATCTGGATCGGGCGATCGCTCGTCACCTCACTCTCCTACACACAATTTGTTGTTGGACCCCTATTCGCTATCAGCGCCAGAGGTTTTCTCATTTTCTAATTTTATATTGTCCGCTGATAACGAATTTCGTTTTCTAAGTGGAAGTTTAGCCTCTTTCCCATTCCGCCTTCTATCTTCTACCTCTGCCACGGTCCGCAGTTGTTGCAATATTTCCATGGAGTGTGGCTGGTAATTGGTACTGATTATTTTGAAGGACACACACTCTGCCTGTCGATTGCCCAACGACGGTTTCGTAAGGAGGGATCTCGCACCGCAGTCGTGGGTAAATTTCCGTATTATGAATGTGCAGTGCAGTGTACGTGCTGCTGCTGCTGGATGACGCCAGAGCCGCAGTGATGCGGACTTTTGCGCAGCAGATAAGCCGAGTTTGCTGGCTGTGGATATGAGAAACGTAGCAAGAGAGAGGTATGGAAGGGCGAAGGGGGTTTGGGATGCCCAGACGGCCGCCAGGAAAACTCGCAGACAAAGCGAAAAGGTAAACAAAGGGGAAAATTCCAACTGCTGCTGCGGCTGCTGTTGGTGTGGGTACAATTATTGCTGCGCAGTTGTTCGCTTACGTCGTCCAGCTCGATCCTGTCGTCGTCCGAGTCCCTGGCCTTGTCGTCCTCGTGCAGCTCCAGGTCGAACAGCTCGCTGGGATCACTCACGTCCGCCATTTGTGCGATCTGGCTTGTGGAAGTGCCCTAGTCTGGTGCTGGTTGCTCGCTGGCTGGCTGGCGCTCCACCTCGCGAGGCACGGCGCTTGCGGAAGCGTTTTATTTTAGTCTCTCCGCTCCTCGCTCGTTGCGGGTCGGAACAGAACAGAACGGAACAGGCGCGGGGCAGCTTTCGTGGCCCCGAAGGTTATTGTTTATTAGTTAATGGCAAAAGCAATACAAATACACACACACGCACACCCGTACGGGCACGGGAGACACGCACCAACACTGCGACGCACGCACCACACACCACGCACTTGTGCCGCTCTTACACACACGCTAGCTGCGATAACTACTCTGCCCACGCGCGCCCTGCAATTTGTTGCTCCGCCAAGTACGCAATTATTCGCCACTGCCTAATCGCAATGCAGTAATCAGTAATTAAAATGCACTTTTTCTTTGTTTGCGAGTGAACACGAGGTGATGGGCTAGAGTGGCCAGACGGTGGCTAACGAGCTGTCAAATCATCGGCGGCTTATCGACTATCGATTGTTTTAACTATCGATGTGGCGAGAGAACCTGTCAAACATTATATATATTTTTTCCAGCTAATGGGTGTTACGAAATTACTCTTAGCTTTGCATATTAATTAAATATTTGATATTAAATACTTGAAATTAACTCTTAAGTTGGTATCGATATTTGTTAACGATACTTTAATTATTTTAGAGTTGGGCATTCTTAAATAATTCACGGTCACACTGTTCGCCAAGGCACGCGCTAGAACAACAAAGACCCCCGCAGAACTTAATTTGTACAGGAGCAATTGTAATTAAAGAACGAATCATGTGCACCGGCTCGCCCAGCAGCAATGGCTCCCAGTCGGAGGAGGGCAGTACCACGGAGCAGGCACCCCAGGAGCAGCAGGCGGAGACGGAACGCGAGCGGCCAGCGGAGCAACAGCTGAGAACGCCCACGCACGCAGTCGTGGCCGCTGCCACGGCGGAGGACATCCTGGCCGAGTATGGTAGCAACCTGAAGCTGCTCGAGTGCAACTCGCAGGTGGCCGAGCTGCTGACCATTCTTCGTGACAAGTAGGTTGCCGGTTGAGGCGAGTTTAGGAGTACGGCAACTGCAATATCGAATTTCCTCTGCAGGAACACCACACGCAGCGACTTCAAATTCTACGCCGACCGACTGATTCGCCTGGTGATCGAGGAGTCGCTCAACCAGCTGCCCTACACCCACTGCGACGTGGAGACGCCCACGGGCGCCATATACGAGGGCCTGAAGTACCGTTCCGGCAACTGTGGCGTGTCCATCATCCGGTCTGGCGAAGCCATGGAGCAGGGTCTGCGCGACTGCTGCCGTTCGATTCGTATTGGCAAGATCCTGGTCGAGTCGGATGCCAACACGCATGAGGCACGCGTGGTGTATGCCCGCTTCCCAGACGACATTGGCAGCCGGCAAGTGTTGCTCATGTACCCGATTATGTCCACGGGCAATACGGTTCTGCAGGCAGTGAATGTCCTGCGTGAGCACGGCGTTCCCGAGAGCTGCATCATCCTTTCGAATCTGTTCTGTACGCCGATGGCCGCCCGCACAGTGGTGAATGCGTTCCCCAAGCTGAAGATTCTCACCTCGGAACTGCACCCGGTAGCGCCCAATCACTTTGGACAGAAATACTTCGGTACAGACTAGAGCTAGGCGCAGATGCAGACTTGACGACTAAGCGCGCTTAGCTGCTTAGGATAGGTAGAGTGAGTTGGCCACCTCCGCTGTCTCTGTCCATGCATGCATCTCACCCAGACAAACGCCAGCTCTACTAACGTCTGCTCCTTTCTCTCTCTGTCTCGTTCCCTAGATGGCATTTGAAATACACAAAGCGATACGAAGCAAACGCGGCACAGGCGCAGTCGGGCGAGCTACCAAACTATTTAAGCAACTTTTAGCTTTTCACAACTGGCTTTTAATGCAACTCTCAAATATGTTACGTTACTTTTTTGGTTTTAACTATTTGTAAATATATAGAAAAGAATAAATATTTAAAATGGAATGACTGATCTAGGAGCTCATCTTGAAGTTGACCACGGTGTCCACCTTTTGCAGACCCGTGGAGAAGGAGCGCAGCTGCACGGTCTGTGCATTCTGGATGACAATGGCTCCCGTTTCGTCCCACTTGGCGGGCAGCTCTGTATTCTTTAGCGTGTGTATCATCACGTCGAAGGTGCAGATACAATCGAGCAGCGGCAGATAGCTAACGGTGGCCGAGATCTGGCGCATTACATCTCGGATTTCGTTCTGGATGCGAGACAGCTCCTTGGTTGAGGTAAGCTTGCCGGGATCGCTCGTGTCGCCGTCGCCCAGTTCTGCCTGCATCTTAAAGTCCCAGCACTCGAGTACCTCCTTGCTGTGGGCGTTCGTGATGACCATGGAGATTTTGTTGATCATGTTCTTGGCCAGCCACTCTGCAAGCACGGGGCAACCTGTTTGATCACCCTTTATAAGCACACTCACACCGACCCCACTCACCTTCTGTTTGGCTTAGCACATTCTGCAGGAAAGTCGTGATCTTAGGATCCTTGGACATCAGGATGGTCAGTCCATATTGCTGGGTGCTGTCAAAGTTCTCCGCCGGATAAATGCCTCGTTGAAACAGGATGGAGTTGATTCCGTATTCTATTTAGGCCATTAAAAAGAATGGACAAGGGAAGACGCCATTGAACGCGGGCTTTCGATCGCTGCCAAGAGCAGGCTGTGCCACTTACTCAGATATTCCACGATTATCTGGGCAGAACCCTTAAGTGTGATACAGTTCTTGGTGGCCTGGGCAGTCGACATTATTTATATATATATTTTTTAAACTATATTTTCGCCAACTTTATAGGATTTGCAAAATAAACGCCGCTAGTTTTTAAAGACAATCTGGTAGTGTGACCGTCGGACATCAGAGCCAAGAAGTTGTTTTTATCGGTGATATCGATGTTAAATAATTTTATCGATGTTATTAAGTCTCAATTTCGAGCCTCTGGTAACGCCACTGGATCGAGCCACTGACATTGCCACACTTTTCTATTTAGTGCTGCCAGACCATAAACAGATTCAAGCAGCAGGCAGTGCTGCCCATCACTTTACTTAATTGGCGGGAAACTTAAGATTATTCGGTTATATTTAAATTCTGTTGCAAAGAAAACACCCAGATTCCTATTTGCAAAAAATTCAGAATTTTATTGGCCATCCTCCGGTTAACTAAAACTAAGCATGAGATCCATTTTTGTGCGCAAAAGCATTTCCACGTGGCTCGGCTAAAGAAGATTCCTCAAGTTCATCAAGTGTCGTAACGACCGCCTGTCAAGAGACCAAAAGAGGAGACTTTGATTTATCCGAAATATATTTTCTCGACAATCCTTGCACTTAATCCAAAACCGGGCTCGTTTCCACAGAGCTTTAGCGGCTCAGCGCTTTGAGAGTTTGTTTGTTGTTGTGTGGGAAAAATTAGCGAAAGCGAATGGGGGATATATAGGGGAACCCTTCAGAGAAATCAACAAAAATCAAAAATAAACGGAGGAGAGAAGAAGCCACAGAAGAAGAACAAGGAACAGGAGGAAATCAGAACCAAATCAAAAAGCAAATTGATTTTTTGTAAAATGTGAATTATTTGCAAGTTTTTAATTAAATTTTTTTCTTATGCATCCTTTTGTTTTGTTTTCTTTTTTGTTTTTTTTTTTTGTTTTGTTTCGTTTTTGTGTTGGTTTAATGGTTTTTGTTTTAAATTAATATTAAACTTTACATGGTATTTTTGGTATAAATCTTTCAATAATTAAATATATAAAAAATTTGCCACTTAAAAGATAACTAAAAATAATCTCTTCGCCATACAAACTGATGTCAACATACACATTGCGAAAAAAAAACTAAATTTGCATTATACATTGTTTTTTTTTTTTTTGTTTTGTTTATAGCGCAAATCATAAACGAGGACAAATAAAATAGTATTTCGAAATTAAGTAGCTTTATAGTATGTGTTTGTGTTTCTTTAAGTTGTGTGTGTGAGGTGTGTGTGTCTTAAGGCTAAAGTTAAGTTTAATTTAGGTGTAATTAAATACAATAAATTATGGTTAAAGAAGGGCTGCATTAACTTAGTTTGAAATGTACACAAAACTTAACGTTAGTTAAAACGAGAGATATTTACAGGATTTATTACAAAGTTCTCGGCTACGTGTCAACCTTTGTTCTCATTATATAAGTATATATGTATATGTATATGTCTATGGTACAACAACAAAAGCGCAACAGTGTCAGTGTCAGGGGTCGAATCGATATTGCTTTCAAACTGTAAACTTCGATAGTTTTCATTCATTCGAACTTGATTTTTTCGATAGTGTTCTTTTCGTACAATTAATTTAATTTAAATTCTGTTTAGGTTTCATATTTAAAATATTCAAACGTAGCTTAAGTCAGTCTGGATCTGGAACTTATCGCTTTTTGGGGAAGAAGGAACTCTGGGAACTCTACGGAATTTTGAAATGTTTTCGGTTCTGTTCAGTTTCGTTTTGGATACTTTTTTGTAGTTTCAAACTGATATGGAGAACGGTGATGGGATTGGGCTTGGTCTGCCGGTGCAACGAATTCACTAATTTTTTAAATACAGTAAAAAATTACAATTGTCGCCGTTCTTGGAGTGCAGGGGAATCAGTCGATCTTGTGTTTTCTTTTTGTTTTGTTTTTGTTTTGTTTATAAAAATCATAAAAATAATAAAACAAAATTCTATGCATTTATTGTCGTTATTTAAGGTATGTATTTGGCCGTAGATTGCAACAAAATATCTGTGAAGAGATTAAATTATAAATAAAATTAAAAATTAATCTTCCAGTTGATTTTCTCGTTTGATTTTCATTTACTGTTAACTAAAAGCTGGCTAAAACCATTTCCACAAATAAATAAGGGGGCAACTACAAGCATTAAATTGCGCTCTCGAAAGATAGAATTCCATCATGCAGAGGATTGTAAAGATTCAGCTCAAGATTACTCTTTGCTGTGGAATTTGTTGTTGTTTATTTTTTTTTTGAAAAGGAGACGAGCACAAGACTAAGGAAGTAAAAAGTGAACAGAGTTACCCAAATCGCAGGAAACGCAGGAGATTAGTCAAAAGAAAAAATACGAAAAAAAAAATAACAACAATCACCAAATAAAATTAAACAAGGGAGCAGAATGAAATTGTTGGTTGTTTTTGTTTGATTTGAATTGGGTTCTTTTTTTTGTGGATTGTCAAAATCTACAGCCAAGTGTTAATTTCTAATAACGAGTACGAACTAAAATTAATTGCAAATCATAAATGTATTATATTGGTTGTTATTCGTTTGGAGAGTTGTTTCAAATGTTGTTCGTTTGTTTTTTTATTATTCGCAAACTACAAAAATTAGATCGAAAACAAAACAAAATTCAGTTCCCGTTTCAATTGGTGGAGTCAGTGTACATTGCCTTTTCTGGGTGAGTGTGGTTTTTAGTGTGGCCAAGTTGCAATTTGTTGCAAATTTTTGCTGCTTGCTTGTTGATGCGTATGTTGGTGTGTATGTGTGTTGTGTGTTGTGTTTTTATTCGTGTAACTAACTTAAGAGAGCCTCTGTTGATTGGTTATCGTTAATCATTGATATTCATATTGACATTGTATGCGCATGTGAGTGAGGTGAGTAAACGTGGGCTGAGAGCCAATTGAACGATTCGACAAGTTTACAAATTTTCTCAGTACTTTTTTGTGGGGGGATAGGATGTCCCTTGTCCGTTGTCCTTTGTCCGTTTGTCCGCGAGTCTCTTGTCTCCGTCCCGTCCACGTTGCTTAATAATTTTGTTTTGTTTTGCTGTTTTCTTTTATACATTTACTGGTTGGTGTGTAGGCGTGTGTAGTTGTGTGTGATGAGTGAGTTTGAAATTAAATTAAGTTCCTATTTAAACACTATTTAAAATAAACCTTCTATAGCACCCTTTGTTTTTATTCGTATTTATTTGATTATTCTCGTTTTGCTTGTCGTTTTCATTTTGTTTTTCTTTTTTTAGTTTACAGCATAATAAATATTAGGTATTACGAAAAACTGTTTGTTAGTTATTTATTTTTGATTTGTTTACTCTTTGTTGTTGTTGTTTGTAAGACCTTACTTTGTTTCTTTTTTGGAATGTGATCTCTAATAAAACTTGTAGTTCGCCGTTTTTTAAAGTGACTGATAATAGCAGGATGCGATGGAGTGTGGAGTGGGTAGGTTGGGTTGGTTGGGAGTAGGAAGGATTTTCTTGGTTTCAATTAATTTTAATTCCAATTCTGCATACTGTATTTGTACTTTCTGTCTGTGTAATAGTGTGTGTAGTGTAGTGTGTGTTTGGCTTTATCAACTATATTTGGTTTATTTCACTTTCTTTTATTCAGCTTGTTCTGTAATTGGAAGGATATTGGTGAAATGTGCAAATGTGGGAATGGGAATTCCTTCGGTTGCCGTTTTCTCTACTTTACTTGATTGTTCAGTTATTATTTTATACTTTATGATTTATTCATTATTTTGGTATGGGCACTGAGTTCGGTTTTTTTTTGTTTAATTTGATTTGTAAGTTTACTGATTCTATCGGTTTCGGTATAGGTTATCGGTATCGGTATCGGTATCGGTTTTGCGTATAACTCGCGTAAAACAATCGATGCTATAGAAGTGCCTATTTTAGCAGTAATAACCTCCTTGAAAACGTTTGCAAGGTGGTTCGGGAGGACTACTATTGCTGTACGTACTGTCGGGCCCAATGTTCTCGCAACGTTCGCCGACGTATCCGTTTTGGCAACTGAAAAAGAAACGAAGAAAAAACAATAAGTACATGGGTTTTCTTTCCATTCAAATTCAATAATCAATAAAATATTATATATAAAGAATGTGTTTACGATGTATATAAAATACACAAAAACTGGTGGAAAAAACGGCGCACTGAAATGGCCATGAACTGCGGTGCAACACCACTCGTGGATCCGGTCAAAAAATATAAACAACAAAAAAATCAAACAAATTAAGTGTGTGGCATGAAACGATTTTTAGCAAAAAACAAAAAAAAAAATGAAGAAAAAGAAAGGGAAAGTTTATGGTAACGAAATGGAAATGAATTTTCCCGCAAGGGTAGCGAAAGCAATGCGCTTTTTTTCGGGGTCTGATTCGGAATCGAAATCGGGATCGAAATCGGTTCACTTCGGATCGAGTGTGTGCCTCGCTCCGCCAGATAAAACGAGGCGCTGAAAGACATTATTCACATTGCAGACACAACAAAAAAAAAGTAAAAGAGAGAGAGAAACACACGGATGCAAGTGTGTGCCTTTGTGGAGTTCTCTCCACGAAATCTGTGGCCTTTCTCTCCGAGTTTTTCCTTCTCCGGAGTCTGGGATACGGAGCGTGTAATGCGATGCCAAAATATTACAAGATCTGTGTATATATATTTAGAGGCGAGGGTGCTGGCGTCTTATCAGCTGTCACATGAGAGAGGTTTATCAAGTAAACCACTTGAGTTTTTGGGATCAGTTGCCAGTTGGAAACTAGCTGGCAGTTGTGACAGGATACGACAGCGAGTGCACAGAGAGAAATTCAGTGGGAGATACTATAACTCAAGTAAAATATATGTCTTAATATCAGAGATATTTTTAGAATCATTCTTCACTTACCGGCAGTAGAACAGGTTCATATCCTTGATCATCCTGCAGGTGCCGCCATGGAAACAGAAATCGGTGAAGGGGCAGGGTACATCGGTGTCCTGGTCCGGCCGAAAGTGTACTGTAAAGACAAGCGAATTCATTTGATTTACAAGGATTTCCACATCACAAACGAAATGATTTTATAAATATACACATTCGCCTTCGAAACTGGGCCATAAATTAGAAATGAATTGGAGCAATTCAAATTGGCTGATGACGATGACGACCACGACATCACAAGGTGTTTGAACCCACGCAGATAGGGGCATTTGGCAGTGGATGGGGCTCACCTGGAGTGGAGTTGATCATGATGCGGCGCCTGATGATCGCCTTGCTGGCTTTGTTCTTCGCCCGGCACTCGTACTTGCCCGCATCGGAGGAACTATTGAAGGAGCGCACAATCAGCTCGGAACGTCTTCTGCAAGGAGTCATTACAAAATGAAACAAATTAATACAAATCAATTAATTTAGATGAAATCAAGGAGGAGACTTACTTGTGGTGCTTGAATTGGTAAACGTTGCGCTTGCGATTGATGGACTTGTCGTCCTTGAACCAGGTAACCTTAGGGGGCGGCTGACCGGACACCCGGCAGACGATCCTCAGCTCCCGGCCGTGCTCGATGGTCGTGTTGCTCGGCACCGCGATGATCGACGTGATCGATGCGTTCTGTGCTGTAAGGAACACCAGGGAGATCATTAGGCCATGCATTTCTTTCATCTTTCAAATCGATCAACGGCAAAATCATGTAGACTCATGGCCCCCTTGGCTAATTAGCGGAATTTTCCACCTGTCTTTATGCGTTTTATATGATTCTCAGACGGCTCTTCCAGTAAACAAAATAGCAAACTACAAAAATTATTCACATTCTTTGGAGAATTTCGCCTGGCGCTTTTCAATGTTTTAATGGACGTCGCGTCGCGTCCCGCTTCGATCGTTAAATGAAATTTTCATTTGTCTGGCACTTCCACTTTCGAGGTGGAAAAGAACAAAAACAAACGATTTATGGAGCGGAAAATTGCGATGACAGACGGTAGTAAATATAGTGAGACGGGATTTATAACAGGAATTGACTTAATAAAAGGGTTCTTGGTAAAGTTAGTTATCTAACTTCAAACTTTATTAAATATTTATGGCATTGTAAAGTTGTAGGGTTTTTACTTTATCTAACAAGACACCTGCCCATATTTGATCATTCATTCATCAAATTCCTGTTTTATTAGGGATCTCCCTATCAGGGAACTCCTTTGTAGTTATTTATTAAGGCTTTCACATATTTACGTAGTTAACCTTATCTAAGGGAATCCATCACGTGCACCTAGGTGTTCACCCTTTATCAACGATGAAATATATATATAGACTTGAATTTTTCAGATACTATATACCCAATTACATATTTAAGACTCACAACAGACTGACTCATCAATGCCGACAAATTGGCAATGAAACTGTGCTGCTGCTGCTGCTGCTGTCTTCTTCGAATTGGTTATTCGCCACTCCCCCGCCCGGCGAGCTCTTAAATTAGCCAACATATCACGTGTCTGGTGGGCGGATTTTCTTTTATTTTCTATTCGGCGAGATTGTCTAAGTGCTCGTCACATGCTAATTGAGACCTGCGTGCGCTGTCAACCACCGCCAAGTGATTCATTCACACACGACTCACCACCGATCATGATCATCCATCGATTGCTATTTTGGCCAATCTATCTTTATTTCTCTCTACCTTACTTATTTGTTTTTGTTGCAGTGGGTGTCAGGGAAGCCACTTGCATTTGGCATTATGCAATTGGCAGGGAATATCTAGCTATATGTTGTGGTTATATATATGTACATATATGTATCCAAGTTCCAAGCAGTCTACAAAGTCTGCGCTGATTTAATGCCCGGCAAATGTTAATTTATGTGAGGAGGATCGCGTGGCCAGACGAAGCTGTCCATATGAATATATATACAATATATAATGTGAATTTAGATTATAAGATGTACACTGTAAGAAAAATGAAAGAATGTGAAGGATTTCAAAGAATATGAGAAGGATTGTATGATTTAATTTGGCAAATTATGAATATATTTTAAAAGTTGAGAGGCGAACAATGTGCAAGTTAGTTAGTGTATTTCAATAATTTCATTCTTTATCCTATATTTCACATAAATCTTATAAATTCTCCTTTAAAATATGAAAAATTAAGAGAAACTATTTTGAATTAATCAAATTATTAATGAGTTAGTTTATTTAAATCCTTAGTAAACAGATAATGTAGGGAAAATCCAAGTCTTAGCCTTCCTCAAGCCTTATTTTTTTCCTGTGTAAATTCATATATAGAGGTGTATTTATTCTATACAATTTTGAGTATATTAAAAGATAAATTATTGTTTATAATTTATGTTTTGGCCCAGTGTTGGGCCATAAAGCAGCATTTTAATTGTGCGAGCCACTTTCTCACGCTCCAAAAAAATAAAAAACGTAGATGAGTATCTGTGTGCGTGAGTATCTGAGTGAGTGTTGTGAGTGTATGGATCACATTCAAAACGTCAACTCACAAGTGTCCACAACGAGTACAACACAAAGTCAATTAATAAGAATATGAATTCCTAAGGCACCCGGCACATACACTTTTAGAGATACTTTTACAGATACATCTACGGCTACAGGTACAGATACAGATACGAAACAAGTTGACAATTGTCATGAGGAACCCTCGACCGCCCCGTGAGCGGTTCTCCGCTTTGATTTAACCAGAAATCCCAGCCAGAATAATAAGATGAACATTTTTATTCGCCTTATGCGTGTTGAGTTCGTTTTTTGGCCAAAACAAAAAAATTGGCATATCATATTCCCCCAAAATGCCACCTCCACTCCTCATTATGACTTAATTATGCGCTTAAAAAGTATGTGTGCTTTATATTTTTTTTCATTCGGGCCATTGGTCTCTCGACTTGAAATCGGAATCGATTTTGTTTTGTTTGATTTGTGATTGTCAGATGGGGGGAGGGAGGAGGGAATCGATTTGGAGCCGAAAAGGATAAAGGGAATCGAACTGAAATCCGATATACTTCAACCGGGCTCATTGGCCTCTTGGCTGCTGGCTGCTGTTGGCTTTTGGCTGCTGTTTTCTTGGTGGAAGTGCGTCAACAAACTGAGGGTCCGGGTCCGGGTCCGGGTCCTACGTCAGAGCCAAAGGCTGATGTCGCGACGCGCTTCCGGAAAAGTCTGGCATGGGGAGCTGCTATGGAGGAAGCGGTGCCAAAGAAAACGTACACTGTCATAACAAACAAATTGACAGTGTTTCCTAATTTTAAATACATTTTTGGCACTTGAAGTGAGGGATATATAGAATGGTAATGCTTGAATATATACTATTTTTCATAAAGAAATGTTGCTCTTTTTATCGCAAATAAAAAGGAAAGTTTAAGTTAAATAAGGGGAAGCTTAACAAAAAGTCCTTTAAGACTTTCTGTCAGTGTAGGAAAACTGTCGTCGTGGTCGCCTCGTTGCCTGCTGCTCCCCAATTTAGCGCACAGACAGAGGGAAAACAGAGCACAGGAGGGGAAACGACTACGTCGGAGACAGGCAGAGCGACAAGGCGCATTAAAATAACTTTTCATATTTCAAATAATATTTTTGCATTTTCATTTTTTCCCCCCTTTTTTTTTTTGCTCGACGCGCTTTTCTTCTCGAGCGTGACGCTGCCGCCAATGATTCATGCAAATCCATCAGCGAACGGGCAGAAGAAAAGCGGCTAATTTCAGGGGAGGATGCGATACTAAGGGGGGTTCCGGGGGTTCAGGGGATCAGGGGTTCAACAGGAGAGGGGGCGGTGTGGGGGTGCCACATGTGGTTATCGCATCGAGCTGGTTGCTCAGGTCGCTTCATGAAAATTAAGTCCGTTTGCATTGAATTAATCAGCGGAATTGCATGCGACACGCCAACTGGCGCCATCTGTCGGGCCCAATTGCCAGTCACAGTTGTACACAGAAAAAAAAACTTATAGGAAAGTGATTTGAAAGTTATTTTAATAATAATTTAAGGTTAAGTACAACTGAGAGAATTTAAATTTCAAAAGAAATTGTTTTTATTTTGAAGAATATATTATATTGGATGGTTCGGAAGGTATCCCTTTCCTTTATAATTAATAAGCAGGTTTAAAAGTGCAATATCCGAAGTAAATTACACTAAAAATAATACCAAATTCTCTCTGTTTTGTAAAATATCATAAGTAGCTTTGCCCAAGTTAAAACTTATTTTGAATTCTTTCACCGAAACATAAACTATTGTCTTTGTGTACCCATTAATCTTCAATATCTTAGTTTTAATTGCAATTCTCCCCTCTTTTTTCCAGTGCACACACCTACACACACACATATGTGATACTCCATTCATTCACCGAATGCAATTTACATAGTCATTACCACTCTAAACCTCATTGTTCCGATGGGTTTATCCCAAATTGTGCAATGTGAAATGCGCTTTTTGCCTCGAAACAAAAATATATAATGCGGATATTCATAAGTATGTGAATCTTTCAATATTCTCGGACTGCGAGACAATTTATTTTGGCAGCTCGTCGGATGACCCACATTTGCCAAGATGCTAAGAGATGCTGCTGCTGCCGCTGTCAGCGGAAGTTTTTCCAAAAAATAAAATTCATATAAATTTCCCCTCCAACTGGGGGCCCGGGTTATTTATGATTTCGAATGCGTTCGAGTGTTATTTATTTGATTATTTTTGATTCATTTTTATTGGCTCGCGACATTGTGTCACTGCGCTGGATCCTCTTGACTAGCGTCTCCGGACACGCAAGTGATTTATCGGGCCATAAACAAATACTGCGGGAATACGCATATCCACCATCGTATCTTGTTTGTCCGGATAAACTTTTACAACTGTAGCACGCGTCTCTCTTTTACTTTTCCTGCGGAGGGGGAAACCCCTTCAATTCACTTCAGTTAATGCTCTCTTATGGTATTTGCATAATTTAGCTTCCAGGGCAGATAAGTGTATGTGTCCCATATGTATAAAGGCCGGCGAAGTGTCAGAGAAATGACAATGGGCATTGCGCATACGCCGTGTTGGCCTAGGCAAAAGCAAACAATTGCTCACCTGACGCCAGAGTGTCGATTAAAGTGCATTGCTATAAGAGCTTATCAGTGTTAATAAAAATATTATGAGTAGGAGTTCCAATGAACTTGTAAAAATTGAAATTTAACTGCAGTTTTCTAAACTAGCACAGAGAAAAGCCTTAAAATGCGTAGGAAATGAAATATTTAAAGTTACAAAACCCTTTTAGTAACTTTTGTATTTTTAGTTCAATTAAAACTATATATTAAATATATATTTTATGCTTTATTAAGAATTTATATCCTAGAAAAACTGCTATAATATAGGCCTTAAATTTTATTCAACATCAAAGTTCTATCCAAATAATCCCTAATAAGTAAAAAGAACATGTTCCTTATGATATCTTTTATGAATCTTTTTTAGCTCTAAAAGTTATTTCACGTGGAAATTTCTAAGCTATTACTCGTTGCTCGTGTCTCTCGCGGAAACATTTAAAAGCATTTTTGAAGGCATTCCAAATAAGAAATTCGATATGCCGGCCAAAAATTCCAATATGCTAAAGCAAACGAACTTATTATTCCGATTCGTTTCAAATAAAAAGAGCAACAAACAGGC